AGTTGTGCCAAATTTTCTATTACTTATTGGATGTTACCCAAGCTATAAAATGATTATTCTCAAAATGGGAAACATTTAAGGATCATCAAGATAATTGCACAGTGTCAAAACTTTTTGAACCCCCACGTATAGTACAAATAGGACTGGTGTCTAAAATTGAAGCATGATAATTTATTTGCACACAATATAATTTTAGAGATGTGTACCTCAATTCTTTATTTGGATATGCATTTGCACACATGAAAATCATAAATTTGTGGCTTAGTGTGCAAGCAGATTAAAGACCCCAGATTTATGCACGCAACACTTGGTAGATTATGTAAATTATGCACCCTTTATTACGTTTTATTAAAAAATGTTTTTTTTTGATTTTAAATCAGATATATACATAGGCAACTCTGTTAAATCAAAGGCAATTGTGCAGGAACTTCTTCAGATTAATGGGGGTTTTTTATAATCCAAAGCAGTGTCTGAAATTGAATGTCCAGGTTTGTGTTACATAAAAATGCATACATTTGGTTGATAACAATAAAAATTTTTTTATTATATACAGTTCTCTCTCTCTATAACGGCCACCTGATTTGGCAAAAAAAGGCCATTATAGAGTTTGCAGATCATAGTCATGTGATAAATTATAATGTGATACAATATAAAGATTTTATTTTATACAATAAAATATATTTAAAAATAAATGAAATAAATGAAACTAAACTATTTATAATTTGCACACTTATTCAATATTAAAAATGCCATCTAGTGTGGATTGTTGTTGTGAGTTAAAATCAATTTTTTTAATTTTTCTTTTAAGACTTTACAATAATTTAAATCATCCTCATTTTATTCTGATTGTTGGTTAAGTAAAATATGGTCTTTATCAAGTTGTAAGGAGGTTGGCTTTTCTTATTTCATGTTTACAAATAATTATTACAGAAAAACTTATGAATTAACATTAAAGTCATAGAGTAAGTCATAATGACATTCTTCTTTTTTATGATCCTTCAAATACGAATAATATATTGTAACTGCAAAGGATGATGATAGATATGAAGTAATGTTGACAAATGGGGGGATTTCCAGAAATATATGGTTAGGGACCTCTCCAATCAAAATTGAGTTTTTTGCATAATATATATTGTGAGATAGTAAATCTTGGACCTATCAGCTACCTGGTTAATATTGATCAATTAGAATGAATTTACTATGGAAGTCATGTGATGTGCTAAATATTATTATTGTAACAGCTACGCTGCACATTGTGCAGTGTCATATGAAAGATTATTCATATTTCTATATTTATATTTATTAACCTACTCATCTGATATAAATATTTATTTAGAATTAGTAATTAGTTGATAAGCATATTATTGGAGAGTAGGGTAGCACATATCACATTATTTGTACTGCCCCAAGAGGTATAAATACACTTGGCTTTAGACCAAGTTAAGAAGAATAATTAATAAATCAATTGTTAATATTGTTGATAACAACCTTGATAACAACATAATAATAACCCTTAATAAATATATAACCTTACATAAAATAGTCTTTGACTGTAAGTAACTAATGAACCCAGTGTGGTTGACCCATTTGGAGTAGAAGTTACTGCAATGCATAAATATTTTTTAGATAATATTGTCACAGTTGGTATTCATATTACTTGATATATTATTATAATAGAAAGAATGTATAACCAAGAATTTCAGGGATCAAATTTTAGTCATTTATAATGTGATCATAATTAACAGTTTTATAATGTCTCAAGTAAAGCTCTGAACGGTTTGGTTTGGTTTCGGTTTGGCTAGATCTTAATATTTATATTATGAAAAGTTCACTCTCTCTACAATGAATTTTCCCCTTTGTTCGTTATAGAAGATGTTTGTTATACATGCAGAGCTAGTTAAACTGAAGTCACAAAAAAATATAAAAACCTTAATAAAATTGGCTTATAGAGATGATTTTAATAAGTAGATAATAAAAAAAATTGGTTTATCATGTATATACAAGAAATGATAAGGTTTCTAACAAAATAACTTTGAATGTGAACTTAATAACAAAAAAAATGAAATTTTCTTCAACTAATAGCTTTTTATTATATCTTATAAATTTTGCAGTGATCCTCAGGGATCCTCGGGTTATATATTCAGAAGAATTTGTTTCGACTTTTATATATGAATTTTATTAAAAAAATTTTTTTGTTCAACATATACAAAAGTATCACGTTAGACCATTTGTAATATATATATATGAATTGATCGACAAAAAGGATCTAGAATCGATTTCCATATTTAGCATATTCCCTGACTGTATTGTTTTTAGAATAATGGTGTTTTTTGAACAATCTCTCATTTATTATCATTAATATATTAATATGTAAACATTCAAATTTTTGTGTAACTATTTTCAAAATTTATTTTAAATATAAAAAACCGATGGTGTTTTACTCACATTTTTATTAAATCATCTTTTTCTATAAATTAATTTTTTTTATTTCTCATCAATTAACTATTTTAACACAAATAACAATACGCGATAACACTTTGGTTGATAAATGTCAACACTTTATATTTGGTTAATCGATAACAACCGTTAACACTACACTTTTACGTTCACACTCTAACACACTAATAAAAAAATCATCAGCCCTTACGTTTAACTTAAATATTTGATCACTTTTACAAACGTAAACAAATACGTTTGCAATTAATAAAGACTTAAAACAAACCTTTGCTTCTTTATTAAGCAAAAACCTCACTAGCGTTTTATTGTTTTGGGAAAAGTAACGAAGCCTTTAAGCGGCCAAAGAAAAGTAAAAGTAAATAAAAGGAACTTTAGAAAAATCTTTGTCGTTTAAAAGGGACACATTATTTATTGTAAATCGTACCATAAAGCGTGCTTACAGGTCGTCGAAGCTTCTAGAAAGACCATTTTACACGGTTATTTAAATGATAAGTCAAAGCATAGAAAAAACATTCAAAATATTAAAATTGCAATTAAAATCATTAAAATCGCGATTATCAAATATAAAATTGCAATTATCAAAAATAAATGTAGAATATATTTCAGAAAAGGAAAAAAGGTTTAAACATCAACTTAAAAGGGAAAATATTTTATATGATTATAATTCTTTTCAAAATATTGAATTAATTGATGATGGATCATTTGGAACAATTTATCGTGCATCTTCGAAGAATCATCAAGAACTTGTGGCATTAAAATCCATTAATATTGATCATTCTTTTGAACAACTTCTTAATGAGGTAATAAATTGGTAAATCTTTTATCTAATAAATTTATATATATTAACAATTGATTTTTTAAAGGCAAAACAACATTGTAGAGTAGAGCATCACAGTAATATATTAGGATTTTATGGAATAACAAAAGAAAGTATGTTGACTTTTTATTATTAAATTATTGTTTGTTTATAATGTATTTCATTGTGCTTTGTTAATTTTTTACATATTATTATTAAAGAACATAAAAAGAATTACATGTTTGTATTAGAGTATGCAAACAATGGTAATTTAT